GCACGCGGGCTTGCGCAACCAGGCTAGCACAATGGTGGAATCAGTCCAACACTGAATCGGAAGGCTACTGAGCGGAAGGTGTGGCAGGATTGAAGCGCACATATCAGCTAGTAGGACTGCGCCACATAATTCTAGACGTGGCAGCGACACTGTTTTGGTTGGAGCCACTCTCGTTTTGGCTGTAAGGAGGTGGACTCGGATTTCCTGGCGAAACTCTACTCGGACGTAGAGTGCGGCTCCGTACGCCCGCTGTGACGCGTCGCAGAAACCATGGTACTGGAAGAGGCATTCAGGGCGGAAATCTACCCATCTCGGAATCCGGATCTGGTCAAGCTCTGGGTAGCTCTGTAGAAACTCGTACCACCGTTGCAGGAGTTCTGAGGGGAGCGGATCGTCCCATCCTATTCCGCTTAACCAAACCTCCTGCATGAATATTTTTGACTGTAAGATGAACGGGGCCAGCCAGCCTGCCGGATCGAACAGTTTTGAGATTTGCGACAGGACCTTGCGCTTCGTAAAAAGGACCTCCTTCTCCATGCCATTCACAACGAATAGGAAATCGTCGGTGGTGGCCTTCCAGCGAATGCCCAGTGTTTTCGTCAAGCTGGCTTCTTCCAGGTCCAAAAAGTCGGCCCGCAACAGGTGCTCTGCCGGGATACTCCGCAAGAGCCCCTTCTCGTTCGCCGTCCATTTCCGTAGCGGAAAACCGGCAGCTTCGAAAGCCTTTTGGAGTTCCCCAATCGACGCCAGCGTGTCCTGCCTTGAATGCGCTCCAGCCAGGACATCGTCCACGTACATGAACTCCTTCACGATTTGGCTGGCTAATGGATACTGCGCTTGTAAGTCTTCTGCGAGCTGCTGAAGGACTCGGATGGCCAGGAAAGGCGCACAGTTTACCCCAAAGGTGACTGTGCCTAATTCGTAATCGCACAAAACCCCGTCTGGATTGCGAAACAGGATTCTCTGAAACGGAGTGTGTTCAGGATCGACTCGTATTTGCCGATACATTTTGGTGATGTCGCTACTGAACACATAACGAAAGAACCGCCACTTCAGTACCTGCAGGATCAGGTCAGACTGAAGGACCGGTCCAGGATGTAGGACATCGTTTAAACTTTTCCCATTAGATGAGGGACTGGAAGCATTAAACACCACGCGGAGCTTGGTCGTGCTGCTGTCTGGCTTGATGACTGCGTGGTGAGGGAGATAATAATTGCAGCGGCTCGTGGGCGGAGGGACTTGGTGCATGTGGCCCAAATCCAGGTACTCATTAATGACCGCGTCATATTGCGCCTTCAATGGCGCATTCCGCTGTAAACGCGCCTCGTTCCTCAAGAGCTGCGCCAACGCGATCGACCTCGAATGGCCCAATTTGATGTTTTGCGGATCCTTGAAAGGAAGCGAAACTACGTATCTTCCATCCGCCTGTCTCCTGGTCGTGCTCTGGAACAGCTGTTCGCACACCAGATCTTCTGCCTTGGACCGGCTGGCTGGGACATCCTCCACCTCCCAAAACTTGGTGAGCAATTGCTCAATCGCTGGCTCATTGTCCACAGTCACACGGGTCGCAAACGATGAGATGGAAGTTTGTTCAGCGGCTGCCACCGGACCTGTCAGGATCCAGCCGAACACGGTCTCCTGAGCGTGTAGGGAGCCACATATATTGGACTTGGATCCAGCCAAAAATATAGCCGGCAATATATCAGCCCCGATGAGCATGTCTACCGGCGAACTGATGTAGAACGTGGGGTCCGCCAATGGCAAATCTGGCAGATTTCTCAGTGCCTCTTGAGGGAACGAGCACGATGGGATATCCCCAGCCAAGTGTGGTAAGACAAAAGCCGATGTATCTATCTCGACCATCGGCTGAGTGGGCGAGACCAACTTGAAGGCGCATACTTTGGTGGTATGGCCTGAGACCGTTCTATTGAGCCCGGAAACCTGGGCACGAATTCTTTTGAAAGGCAGCTGGAGCCTGCTGCGTAAGCGCTCTGAAATAAATGTTCCCTCGGAACCTGAATCAATCAGAGCACGCGCTGTGTAAATTGTGCCCACGTGACGAATGTTGACCATGGCTGTGCTTAAAAGCACGCCTCGGGTGTGCGAGGAAAAGTATGTCTGTACATTAGGAGGAGTGGACTGTATATCGTGGAGTGACGACTGAGGAGCTGATGTGGGAGGCACGAGTGGAGTCGGGGCACCGCGGTGCAATAACGTGTGATGGCGTCCCTTACACGTGGAGCACGAATACTGACTCGTGCAGTCTTTCAGCTGGTGCCCTCTTGCGAAGCAGTTCAGGCACAGCTTTTGCTTCTTAATCACACCGGAACGCTCCTTGACCGTCATTGCGAGGAAACGCGGGCACAGACGAATTGGGTGGTTTTCTCTGGAACAGAGGTTGCAGGTCTGCGTCTTTACTCTGACCTTTGCCTCAAACGAGTTGACTCTCCTCGCAGCCGGCTCCTTTTGAGCTGACTTTGGCACGTGGACGCTGGTGCTCGATCGCACATCACTTATCGCTTCGAGAGTTCGATAGCGATCTGACAGGAATTGGTTCATATCGGACCAGGGAGGAATCTCAGTCTTGTCTTTAACAGACTGTTCCCATAAAGAAAGGGTCTGCTGTGGGAGTCTTGTGGCGCAGAAAAAGACTAAGCCGCAATCCCAATTTTCGGTACTTATCTTCGCGTTTTCCACAGCTGTTAAGCAACCTTGAATGGTGCTCTGAAGTTCCTTAATGGAGGCGCCACACTCTGACGAAATTGGTTGTATGTTGGCAAGGACTTTTAATTGACTATTGACGAGGAGCCGTTTGTTTTCAAAACGGTCAGTCAGGTCCTTCCATGCAGTAGCGAAACCGCTATTAGTGAGTGGCGACCTCGAAACGATAACCTTCGCCTCTCCACTAGTTTTGGCGTTAAGGTGGAACATTTTCTCGACCTCGGACAGACGCGAATTGCGAATGTACACGGCCGTAAAGAGATCCCGGAACGTAGGCCATTTCAAATAATCGCCAGAGAACACCTCGGTATCCACCGGTGACACATTGAAGCCCCGAGCTTCGACAGCAGGCGCCGAGGGATTGTGTGACGCGGATGCCTGTTCAATCTGCCCGGATACCAGACAGACACACCGCTCGTAGACGCGATAGCAATTTTCGTATCTAGATTGCATCGCCTGCTTGTCAGGAACACCGGCCTCTAACTGGGTTAAAGCCCTGGAACACGACCGCTGTTCTTGCTCAACCCTTTCCCAAAGGACCTTGACTTGGTCTAGACGAGTCTTGAGCATGACAAGCGGATCAGAGGCGGATGAGGAGGCCAAAAGCGCCTCGAATTGGCACAGGCTATCGCTAACGGAATAAAGTTATCTAATGCCATTTGGATTTTCTGAGCCGCGATATGAACAGCTGAACGTGTAGCTGGACTAGTTCTCGTTACAACGGGAACTTCCAATGAGTCCTTCTCATTGTCGCTCGGCATTTTGAGCTTCCACACAGGCCTGACAAGCAATAAGTAGAAGTGGGCGCGCTATAGGCGTTTCGGATGGACACGGACGGATGCGCGCCGAAAGCAACAAGTGGCGTTTAGGACTGCGCCTTGCTTGTTGGCAATATAAAACAGGACACGACCAAAGAAAAGAGGAGGAGGCGGCAGAATCTATATATGTAGTTCGGCTTCGCTGTGTGTCCCAATGTGGCTTACGAACCGACTGGCTCGTAACAAAAGCACGTGGAAGTATGGTTTGGCTCTTAGTAAATTCCAATAATACAGCTGGATACGCTGAACACTTGCGAGGTAACAGCAATAATAATAATGGCAGCAACGGCGACAATTAGACGGCGGTAGTTCAACGGCGAGAATAAATCCTTATTAAATTGTCAATAACTCCTCAGGATGCGCTGAAATATGCAATGTGACTCCAAAGGAAACAAATGCCACCGATATTTAATTTATTTTTAATTTTATTCAATCTTTGTTGTGACAAAATCACTGCTGCCATTAGCAATCGGTTTTCCCTTTATTATCGAAATTAATGTAAATTATTTGTAATTCGTGACCGTGACTAATATTCGGTCACACTCCAAATTTTCGATATTCCGATAACCGGTTCCCAACAAGTGCGCATCACTTGTTGACGAATTGTGCAAGTAAGAATTTTATGCCAAAAAAAAAATAGAATATTCGCCGGTGAGCTAGGGATGCTCATGTAGAAAATACATCGATGTTTTTTTCGATTTGATGCATCGACATCTTGCATCGATGTATTACGATATATCAACGAAAAACATCGATGTTTTCGATATATCGCATTTGATCTAAATATTATAATCAATACAAAAAACGTACTTTTGCATTAAGAAATATTAAGAATATAGAGATTTATTGTTGTATTTCCCACTGTTTATTAGGAAAATGTTGCAAAAAGAGAAGTTTGTTGACACGCTTGGCTTGCAAACAGCTAAAATTAGAACCATTTGTGATATTCAAACTAAAATTAATATATTTTGACTTTCCTCTTTTTTTTACACAGTTTGCACTTAACAGATTTATCGCTAACTTTGTCGTAATAATTTCATACGACACTTTTGTTGTTTGGTGCCATGATAAAATATTTCGGTATACAATTAATTAAATCAGAATTGGCTTAAAGTAAAAGCACTTCCAAAGAAGAAAAAGCGAATAATTGCGTCACATGTATATTTACAGCATTCAATAGACATGATACGTTTTGCTTTGTCTCCATTTGAACGGGCTTTGACTGTTCAATTAGTTTTCTTTAATTCTTTAATTAAGTCAGAAATAAAACTCGCCTTTCGATGCATCGGCTCAAATACATCGATGTATGATTCGATATTAACCTATTCAATATATCGTAAAATGTCGATATATCGAAAGCAAACATCGATGTTTTATTGAACATCGATGTATATCGCGCATCCCTACGGTGAGCGCACGCTCGCGCTGGCGCTGGATATGGCACGACTGGAGCGGAGTGCTAACCGGAATACGGGTAAGTTGGTGGGAGTCGCGGACCGACCGTGTCGTGTTACAGGAATTGTGTTAGTAAATATGTGTAATTGTCAATATGAACATATGATTGTGAATGTATGTTTAATATGGATTTAATATGTATATTTGTATGTAAGCATGTGGGGAACTATGGTTATTGGGTAGATTCGGAATATATATGTACAAGTATATGGATGATGCGTAGTGTGCAAGTGTATAAATATTTAAGCAGATGTACAAAAACGTATATTTATTGTGCGCGGAAACATGCAAGCGCTTAGAAAATATGTTTGTGGTTTGTGGGACATGCAAGCATTAACAAATATGTATGTTTGTGGAATCTGCAAGCATTAGGAAATATGTATGTTTGCGGAATCTGCAAGCATTAGGAAATATGTATGTTTGTGGAATATGCATGCATCAAAACATACGTGTGTTGTAAGTGACGGTGATTATGCAGTGATAGTGCGTTAGGGCGGCAAGTCCAGTTGTGTTTCTCACTGGACACTTGTTGCACATATGAATGAACACGTCCCAAGTATGCCGGTATGCAATCGCGAACGGACAGATTGGTTCTATACTGCTAATTCGTGCACTTTATGTATTTTTGGTTGAGCTGACCGGCGCGGTATCAGCCGTATACGAATGGGGCCCTTGGATCAGGGACGGAAAGCGGGATGCGGATTCCGTTTTTGGAAGTCGGCGGACAGTCCGACAGAAGAAACCAATATGGCGTAAGTACTGAGCCAAAAGTAACTTTTTACTTAGCTGTTTTCCCTTATAGGAGTCCAACGCCAGGAACAAGCTGGGGCGAACGGATGGCTGGCACAAAACGAGGATGAGTATGGATGGAGGTGCGTCAGCAGGATCCGGCTCGAAGGACCATGTAAAAGTCGGGGGGCGTCGGGGATAAAATGTCCAAACTCCAGTACAAGAACAAAATGGCGGGATTTTCAGGTTTCAAAGTGCTCTTCTGCACGTATGTATTCACTTCATATAAAGACAATTTGTAACTAACTTAACCTAGTTACAGTGCTCTGGTCCTTAACTAACGTGTGGGAGAGAGAGGGCGCTGACGTCAGCCGCGCTGTGCTAGCAGATGTTGCTAGCGAATGTTGCTAGCAAACGTTGCCAGCCTGCCATGCAGGCTACTAGCAGTGCTGCCACGTCAACACTACCTTTGCAAAGTTTGGTATGAACTTGCGATAAAAGCCACAAAGTCCAAGGAATGACTTAATTTCTTTGGCTGTTTTTGGAATCGGGAATTTAACGATTGCCCTTTTTTTTCTGGGTTTGGTTTTATACCTTCAGTTGTTATAATGTGACCAAGAAATTCAGTTTCTTTTCTCATGAACTCGCATTTGTCAAGTTGAAGTTTTAAATTGGCTTCTCGTAGCTTAGTGAAAACATTTCTCAGAGACACAATATGCTCTTCCAATGAAGTGGAGTAGATTATTATGTCATCCAAGTAAACCAAGCAATCCTTAAATATTAATTCTTCTAATAAATTGTTCATGCAACGTTGAAAAGTTGCGGGTGCATTTTTAAGTCCAAATGGCATACGAGTGTATTCGTAATGGCCATGTTTGGTGGAAAATGCGGTCTTTGCTATTGACCTTGGATCCATTTGGATCTGATGAAAGCCCTTGGCTAAATCAATTGTTGTGAAATACTGGCTCTTTCCCAGTTTATCCAATATCCCATCCATTACAGGAATGGGATATTTATCATCAACGGTAATTTCGTTGAGATTTCTATAGTCTATGACTATACGATATTTTTGTTTGCCCGAGGCATCACTTTTCTTTGGTACAATCCAAATGGGTGAGCAATATGGGGACTTGGATTTACGAATTATGCCTTGAGTCAGCATTTCGTTTATTTGCTTATTGACTTCTTCGTCAAAAGCTTGGGGGTATTTATATGGTCTTTTGTAGACTGGGTCTTCATGCTTTGTCTGAATTACATGCTTAATCGTACTCGTGAAAGTCAAATTTTCACCTTCTCGGTATTGGATATCGCGGAATTCGGCTAAGACCTTTTTTAACTTTTCTTTTTCTTCGGGATTCAGGTGTTCTAACCTGAACTCGTTGGATTCTTTGAATTCGTTTTGGATTGAGAAATTAAAAGGTACATCCTCTGTTAGAGGTGGGTCGAGACATTTCAAACTACTTTTGTCTGCTCCCTGATCATTGTCATTATGCCTAATCATGAAAGAATAACCGCTTAGGGTCACTGTTCCTGTTTTATAATCAATGTTAGCTTGGCAAGCTTCAAGGAATTCTCTTCCTATGAGCATATCATAACGATCGGAAAAATTGTGTATATAAAATTGCTGTCTAGTAGGACACAGTTTACTGGGGAGGAATAATACTACTTCGTTTAACTTTATTGTACGATTAATTGTACGGACTTCTAACGGACAAGGTTTTGATGGGAAGATGAAAAAATTTTCTCTTAACAAGTTGATCGACGATCCTGTGTCTATTACACACCTAATTTCTTTATTATTCATTAATCTCTATATATATAAAACAGTTTGTCCTGACTGACTGACTGACTGACTGACTGATTGGCAATCAACGCACAGCCCAAACGGTAAGAGCTAGGAAGCTGAAATTTGGACACAAGATCCCTCTTATAGTGAAAGTGAGCACTAAGAAGGGGTTTCGGAAAATTCGAGCTCCAAAGAGGGGAAAAAGAGCTCCAACGTTTGTATGAAAAATCTACAATTTTTATCCGATTAACTTCAAACTTAGTTTGTATATTCTCAAAAAGAATACAAAAAAAACTGTATACTTGGATTTTCAATATTTTTCCTGCGGCCTGAATAATAATGATTTTCCGGTGGAAAATTCGGTAAACGAAAAGCTATGTGCAATCAACGCACAGCCCAAACGGTAAGAGCTAAGAGGCTGAAAATTGGACACATGTTGTCTTCAGTGGTGTAGGTGAGCACTAAGAAGCGGTTTTGGAAAATTCGAACGCCAAAGGGGGGAAAACGGGCTCCAACGTTTGTATGAAAAATCTACAATTTTCATCCAATTAACTTCAAACTTAGTTTGTATACTCTCAAAAAGAATACAAGAAAAACTGTATACTTGGTTTTTCGCCATTTTTCCTGGGGCATGAAAAAAGGGGGGTTTTCCGTGGAAAAATTGAAACACAATCAACACCCCACAGCCCAAACGGTAAAAGCTAGGAAACTTGGGCTCAAGTATCCTATCATGGTGTAGATGCGCACTAAGAAGGGATTTTGGAAAATTCGAGCTCCAAAGGGGGGAAAAGTAGCTCCAAAGTTTGTTTGAAAATTCTGCATTTTTGAATCGATCAACTTTAAATTTAGGTTTTATAATCTATAAAAGAATACAAACAAAACTGCATACTCGGTTTTTCATTTGTGTTGGAGCTTGAATTATTGGGGTTTTAATATTTATTCATTTTTTCAAATGAAAAGTTTGTGTTATAAATTTTGTCAGATCGATTTCAAATTTGGGTAATATAATCTACGTAACTAAAATTACAACTTTGCATTTAACGATTTTTAAAATATGCATTTTACAAATGCAGGTAGAACAAACAATACAAAATATCAAACAGTTGGGGACAACTAAGTATACATACACACACACACACACATACATACATACAAGCAGCTGTTCGTGTAGTTGCGTGTAAACGGTTGAAGTAGCCAAAGCAAAATGCGAGACACTAATGTGTGAATGTTCATTTGTACACATGTATGTATGTACATACATACATACATATGTATGTACAAAAGTACATACATATGTATGTACAAAAGTACATTCGTCTTGCACTGACAGGGCAAGAAATGTTAATTAATTAAAAATTATTAACATTATAACATAAACATTTTTATGCTATTTTTTCTTTGTTTAGTACATTTGGCATAAGGGGTTTTTAGGACAACGGACTACAAGGGCGTACACAGGTTGGGCAGGGGGGACATTTCTCCCCTTAGAAAGAATTTCGCATTATGAATTACGCCAGCACCATATGTATTACATACGTACATACGTCTGTATGTATAGCATGTACATATGTATGTATGTACATCAATAAGTATGTATGTACGTTCATACATTGCTATATACATATGTATATAGGTTTGTATGTACAAGTATGCAGTGGGCTATCGAACACTGTTGTTTAATTGTAAAAAATAGTTTTCTATGGTTTCAAATCAAAATTTTTAAAACAACAACAACAACTTCAAGTTATTGGCTCGCAAATCTTCTTTCGTTTTGATCATTTACGCCTGTTCATTACATACGCAAAATGCCAAAAGTTTACAGTTACAGTACACATACAAATAAATTTGTATGTATGTATGTGTACAGTGTACAATCGAATACAGTATTATAATCAATAACTCTCAAACGATGTTTTTCGATGTATTTGTATTCGACATGTATTACGATATATCAACACAAGTATCGATATTTTCGATATATCGCATTTAATTTTATTATTGGGGTTTTAATATTTATTCACTTTTTCAAATGAATAGTTTGTGTTATAAATTTTGTCCGATCGATTTCAAATTTGGGTAATGTAATCAACATAACTATATCAACAAATTGGCATTCAACGATTAAAATATAGCAATATGTTTTTTACTTGCCATATATCAAATATCAAATAGTTGGAAACAGTTCGTGTCTATGTGTGCCCATGCATACATACATATGTACAAGCATATGTATCTATGCCTGTATATGTATGAAGCATGTAAATACAAAACAACAACAACAACTTCAAGTTGTTGGCTCGCTCATCTTCTTTCGTTTTGACCATTTAATGTTAATTGCAAAGGCAAAACGCCAAAAGTTTACAGTTACCGTCGCTAAGCAACGACTGCGTATGCGATAGTAAAGCAGAAACCGAATAACGGAGCTACGCATATTCTGCTTCGCATTGCGGGCAGATGTATGTATGTATATGATTTGTTCTTATCGATCTCAATAAATAATTAGATTTTATTATTTAAATATTCTGCTTATTGCATTCAAACTTCGATATTTTGATGGTATCGGTGGCTTCAACTATCGAAAGTTTTACTCTAGCAAATTGAGATGAGAATTGTCAGTGCTTTTTGATCGTGGGTCATCGCTGCACGGCATTGACACGAGTGCCGTGTTTCATATTCCGAGTTTGTGCGTGACCGTATTGACTCAAATGTGAATTTAAAATTAGGATATACCCTTATAATTATTCCCCTTTTTTGCACATAGTCTATCTTAAAACGTTGCGTTATCTCTATATATAAAACAGTTTGTCCTGACTAATTGGTGATCAACGCACAGCCCAAACGGTAAAAGATGAAATTTGGACTCAAGTATCCTTTCATAGTATCCATCATAGTGTAGGAGCACACTAAGAAAGGCTTTTGGAAAATTCTAACTCCAAAGGGGGGAGGTTTAAAAAAATATTAGTTATAGTGGTCATGTTCGTTTAAAGAAATAGTTTGGCAAGAACAAAAATGTAACGGACTACTGAACAATTTTTTGTCAAGAACAGAAAATGTTCATTTAAATACCTTAAATGCCTTCCTACTGGTAACTTATAAGGTGAAAACATATGGGTAGGTTATGCACACACAAAATAAATACAATTGGAAACATATTGAGCCGGGTTAAGACGGGCAATACCTGCTAGTAATCTGATATCTCCAAGGCCACTTGATGAAAATTTTCCGAAGTGTCCATTTTATAATGACCACTAGTACTTTCGCGTTGCCTTTTGACTGGTGGATTGGGTGTATCCCGAACTTGAGCTGTTTGATAGTTGACAGGGTTATTTACTCTATCATAGTGTAACCTTTGTTGCATTTCTTGATGAAACTGTTGATAATTTTCGGTTTGATGTCTTGGTCTGGTATTATTGTAAGTATTTGTATGTTTATAAGCATATGTTTGATTTGAATTTTTATTATGATTTCTATTATTATTTCCCCTATTCGCACGGTCATTGTTATTCTTTTGGAAGCCTGAATTTTGGGGGTTTGACTGATTTATCGGGCCATTGTAATTTTTGTTTCTATCGGAGAAGGTGTTTTCATAAATTCCTTCTCTCTGAGCCACTTGTTTCAAGTGTGAAACTGTACTTATATCATACCTTGCTAACACCATGAACAACCTATCTGGCAATTTTCTTGTAATCACATCTTTAACTGTTTTGTTTAAAGCACTTGTATACAAAGCCGTGTTTCTAGTATCATCTTCTAATATTAGCTTATTTATAATTAAAAATGATTTGTATTCAAGTTCTTCCACAAACTTACGGATGCTTCCATTAAACTGGGTGTTGTAGAGTCGTCTCAGCAGCTCTTCGAAGGGGGTTTGTGTTTTGAATTCTGATATCAAAACTGTCTTCAGTTCGAGCCATGAAGCTGGTGCTGCTAATTGGGTTACTCGTTGGGCATCTCCTGTGACCTGCATCTCAATTGCTCCAAATATGACATTACGTTGTCTCACGTCTGCGGTTACGTAGAGTCGCGTAATGA